CAGGTATATCTTGACCACAGATTGTCCAACAGTCATGCTTAAATCATTCTTAAGATTTAAATATGTTCTTAGTACCCTTAAAGGGCGATTACTTATTTGATTGTGCCCTAAATGAAGAAGTTTTGCTTTCTCTGGATTCTGGATGCAGCTACTGAGGCTTTGACATGGGTAGGTAGGGAGCACGTGGCCGAACCTGCTGTCAGGTCTATATGCTTTGCATTGAAGACACGCAGACTTACTGCATGTCTAACCATGATTTCGTCAACAAAAAAAAGTGAGGATTTATTACTTATCTCTGTTCGGCCCAAGCAAGTTTTGACGTCTTCGATTCTAAAATATATAAGTACACAAAATAAAAGTTTGCATCAAAATGGTTCAAATACATATTTGAACACATATCTAGTCTTAGTACATTGATGTACTTCCAGTGGCTCTCCAGTCTCAGCTCATATCCACCTAAGCTTCCTAGTGTTCATTCGAAAGGGAAAGGAGAACTGGAAGCTACTGAAAATGGAAATTGTTCAACCATGAAATTTCCCTGCCTCAGAGAAGAAACTGAATCCCAATCAGACCTTATGGATTGGCAAGACAATGACTGGAGATAAATGGCAGTTACTGCATTTCTTGTGAAACATGCTGATGACACGTAATGAGATGTCTATTTGCTATCTAGGTGCATATATGTCAGCTATGCTAAATGTGTTGTATTGTGTAATGGATTTATCTGCAAAAGTTAATCACCCTCCTTTCCTTGAATACGAGGTTAAATGTTTGTTTTATAGTGGTTGCTTGTTCAGATGCTACTCTTATGCTGCGGTGCTTCCGTTGCCTTTCTGGCTGTGGTATGTCATATTCCCCGAGCAATCTATTTCTTTTTCATGTTTGGGTTTGTCAGATAATCACTTGATGTGGAATATATTTATTTTTCATTCTCCACTATATATTTTCTCCAGGATTGAGATTGCTGCATTGGTTACAAAAACATCTCCAGTCGTAGCTCTGCAGCATTTGGTCATTCTTAGCTTTGTTCAGGCTAAAGGTAAGCACTTCATTATCCAGTATGTTCTTAGTTATAGTTTGCAGAGCTTAAAACAAATTTCCAGAATTGTGTATGCAAATTAAGCAACTTAAGCTATTTAAATTCTTCGATTTTTGTTCAGCATAAGCCTCTAGTTGTTGGTTCATGTGAATTTTTTACTTCAAATCAGCCGGAAGATGAAGCAAGATGTGGCATAAAGGAACTAGTTTTCATATTTACTGAGAAGAGTGTGGTGTGTGGGAGTATTATATGCAAGAAATGAAGTTAAAATGACAATCTATTATAACTCTACTTGGGCCAATAAATTTTGGACATCTTGCAGATATTAACCGCCAATATGTTTTAGTTTCCCTCCTCATTCTCCAAAGACTCTGGTAAGTGACAACCGCTCCAAGTTGCAGCACCAATTCCAGGATTGATTTGTTGAACTTATTTTTTTCATTTTACCCAAATTTCATTGCAGGAAAAGTTTTTGTACCCTCTCTTGCGTGCATATTAATTTTTTTTATGTCATATCCATTGCATATTGTTTCTTGTCTGCACCGTCTCCTTATTTTGCAATTTAACAATCAATGAAAGCTTTTCCTGAGTAAGACTCCCCTTTTATCATTATCGAAGACTACACGGACTGATATTCCAGAAGAATAAACATGACTTGGTGAACTAAGCAAATATAAATCAGGTTCTAAAATACAAAACTATCTAGAGAACTTTGCTGTCGTTCAGTAATGGAATGGGCCCATATTTTGGGAAGAATAATGTTCATTAATTTCAAATAAATTCACCTTAATTCTTGTTATTCATTTCTGTCTAAATTTACTTCAACCTATGTAATGCTAGGTGTGTTATTAGAGCTTTTCAACACTGTAATCGAAGCTGCAAGGTAGTTATATTTGCTCTCCTGTATCAATTATAAATTTGCTAACGCTGAGTTCTCTGAAGTATCTCATGTGACATTTTCAGAGCTTATGATAAAGCAGCAATCAAATGTAATGGAAAAGATGCAGGGACCAATTTTGATTTGAGCATTTATGCATATGAGCTTAATTGTAACTGTGTACATTCACTAAGAGCTGTATGCTTCAAACTCGTTCTTATGAGTGAATGTATCAGTTTCTGGGCTGTAGAAAGAGATAATAGAGAGAGCAAAACCCTAACTTTTATTAATTTATTCAGATACTAGAGATATATATATATATATAGTCATACAAATAGGGGTATGGTTAACGGATCACAGCCCATTAACCCAATACCCAATAGATTTAATCTAACACTCCCCCTCAAGCTGGAGCATAAATATCCACCATGTCCAGCTTGTCACATATAGTAGAAAACACCTTTGAAGAAGTAGCCTTGGTAAGAATATCAGCAAGTTGTTGTGAGGATGGAGTGAATATGAGACACTATCTTCTTCTCCCAAGCATCTCTGACAAAATTACAGTCAACTTTAATATGTTTTGTCCTCTCATGAAGTATAGGATTCTGTGCAATGTAAATGGCAGATTGGTTATCATAATGCATAGGCATAGGTTCAGGTTGAACAAAACCAAGTTCTGTTATAAACTTTCGTAGCCGCACCATCTCACAAGCAGTGTGAGTCATTGCTCTATATTCGGCCTCTGCACTAGACCGTGAAACTACATCTTGTTTCTTGCTTCTCCAAGTGACAAAATTACCTCTAATAAAAGTACAGAAACATGAGGTTGACTTCCGGTCTCCCATATCTCCTGCATAGCCAGCACCAGATAAAGCAGAAATGCGAGTATGCATGTACTTCTTATATAGCAATCCCTTACCAGGGTAACTCTTGATATATGCCAAAATCTTCAGAGCAGCTGTCCAATGAACTTCTCTAGGTTTGTGCATAAACCTAAATCTTCAGAGCAGCTGTCCAATGAACTTCTCTAGGTTTGTGCATAAACCTACTCAGTACACCCACTGCAAAGGTAATATCAGGTCTGGTAACTGTCAAATAGATTAGTTTACCAATCAGTCTCCTGTATCGTCTAACATCATCTAGTAGAGAGGTATCATCACGTCACAAATCAATATTTGCCTCCATTGGAGTGTTTGAAGGTTTACAACCCGAGAGACCTGCTTCTTCTAGTAAATCTAGCACATACTTCCTTTGGGGACAACAACAGGCCATGCCTTTGATATGCAACTTCAATCCCAAGAAAATATTTTGGCTTTCCCATGTCCTTAGTGACAAAATGACGGTTTAGATATTCCTTAGTCTCTACTAAGGCAACAGAGTCACTCCCAATGAGCAGAATATCATCAACATAAACAGCTAAAATAACCAAACCAGTTGTTATGCGTCGAAGAAAGACAGAGTGATCAGAATGGCAGCGTTGAAAACCAACACTAGAAATAACCTTGCTGAATTTATCAAACCAAGCTCGAGGACTCTGTTTTAACCCATAGATGGTCTTTCTCACTCTGCAGATAATATTCTCCCCCTGAGCAACATACCCAGGAGGTTGCTCCATATAAACCTTCTCGTCCAAATCACCATAAAGAAAAGCATTCTTCACATCTAGTTGATGCATATTCCAATCCAGATTAACAGCCAGAGAGAAGAGAATTCGAATGGAGTTGAGACGCGCAACAGGAGAAAAAGTCTCAAAATAATCAATACCATATGTCTGGGTATATTCTTTAGCAATCAGGCGAGCTTTATATCTATCAACAGACCCATCAGGACGATATTTTAAGGTATACACCCATCTGTAGCCAATCACAGTCGCTCCAGTAGGGAGAGAGACCAAGTCCCAAGTCCCTCTAGAAAGCAGTGCATTCATCTCCTCATCCATAGCCTGTTTCCAGGCGGGTACTAACAAAGCTTCCTCATGTGACCTGGGTAAAGATATAGTGGACAAGGACAAAGCAAACTGACGAAAGGATGGGGTGAGACGGTCATAAGAGACAATAGGAACATCTAAGTCAGAAGAGCAATAGGAACATCTAAGTCAGAAGAGATATGAGGCTCGACATGAGATGGACCTGCAGCTGGAGAAGAAGAGTCAGCAGGAGCAGAGATAGGTGTATGTACTTTAGGACGACGAGAGTATGTCAGTAGAGGTTTTTGTGCAGTAGCCACAGGAGCAGATACCGGAATAGTAGTGGGAGCCGTAGAAGGTAGTGGTACCTGTGGACTGACGGAGGTAGTGGAACCAGAAGAAAAATATGAGACAGACTCAAAGAAGGTAACATCAGCAAAAACAAAATATCTCCTGGTGGTCGGATGATAGCACCTATACCCTTTTTGAATATGTGGGTATCCAACAAACACACACTTAATGGACCTAGGAGACAATTTATCCAAACTAGCAGTCAAATCCTGAACAAAACACGTACAACCAAAAACTCGAGGAATCACAGAGAAACGTTTTTTAGCAGGATAAAGACAGTGGAATGGTATCAAACCATCAAGAACAGAGGAAGACATTCGATTAATCAAATAACAGGCAGTGAGAACAGCATCAGACCACAAGTACTTTGGAATATTCATATGTATCATCAGTGTTCTAGCAACATCGAGAATATGTCTATGTTTCCTCTCAGTAACTCCATTTTGTTGTGAAGAGTGAGAGCATGAAGTTTGATGAATAATACCATTAAGAGCACAAAAATTTGAAACGTTATTTTTCATATATTCCAAAGCATTATCAGTACGAAGAATATGAGCAGAAGTAGAGAACTGAGTTTTTATTTTATTATAAAAAAGTTCAATAACATGCGAGACTTCAGACCTCTCTTTCAACAAATATAGCCAAGTCACGCGAGAGAAATCATCAACAAAAACAATAAAATATCGAAAACCCTTCACAGATGGAACACGACAAGGACCCCAGACATCAGAATGAACTAACTCAAAGGCAAAACTACTGTGTTTATCGACACGACTCTGAAAAGAAGCACGATGGTGCTTACCCAGTTCACATGACTCAAAAACTACTGTGTTTATCGACACGACTCTGAAAAGAAGCACGATGGTGCTTACCCAGTTCACATGACTCACAACCTAAAGAAAAGAAGCACGATGGTGCTTACCCAGTTCACATGACTCACAACCTAAAGAAGAAAGAGAAGACTGAACAACAACTACTGATCTAAGTTTCTGTAGTGAAGGATGACCCAAACGTTAGTGCCACAGTAAGGTAGAATCAGGCTGTGCTGCAACAAGACCAGCACCCGGCACACTGTCGTCCAAATAGTACATACCTCCTCTCTCATGCCCCGAACCAATCGTCATCCCAGTTGCTAGGTCCTGAAAAACACAATAAGAAGGAAAGAATGTGACTTTAAAGTTATTATGCTTTGTAAACTTGCTAATGGATAATAAGCTAACAGGGAATTTAGGAGCATATAACACATCATTGAGTTTCAAAGAGGAAGTAGTATGAACTACTCCAGCATCAAAAACTGGAGAAAGTGTACCATCAGCGATGCGAATAGAGGGAAACTTATTAGAAAGATGTAAAGAAATAAAACGATCCTTTATACCTATCATGTGGGATGAGGCTTCAGAATCTAGTACCCATGGTTCATGAGGAGAAGCTATGTAAGCATCCATACCTGAAGAGGATGCATGAGTAGCCGAATGACTGTTTTGAGAGAGCTCTAGCTGGCGTAACCTCTCATAATCTGACTGAGAGATCTGAACAGTAGGAATAGTAGCAGCTGGCTTACTAGAAGTAGTAGTAGAAATAGGTGAGCGAGTCGACTCGGCATCGGCTACTTGGGCCCATTGAGGACGACCAAACTTCTCCCAGCACTTCTCAGAAATATGATTGGTCCTCCCATAGTGACCACACTGACGTGAACCCCTATCAGAATTATCATGTCTCCTACTAAAGGAGCCACGTCCTCCCACCGAATCACGACCACGACCATGACCACGATCGCGGCCTCTGTCTCTACTAGAGAACATGGCAGACTGATCCAATGAAGATAAAGACGGTGCAGAAGTATCAGAAGAAACACCAGTAGAGACCTGCATGACTCTGGAGAATATAACAGCCGGTGAGGAGATGATATCTCCACCCAATATTTATCCTCGCACCTGGGACTGTAAGGTAGGGTGCAATCCAGAAAGAAACTTGGACACTGCCAAGTCATGGTGATATCCCAACAGCGTCGTCGCATCAGCTACTGCAGGCTGATGCATCTTCAGTTCTTCTATCAGTCCATTTAACTCACCAAAGAACTCCGGAACTGACCTATCTTCCTATTTGAGCTCAAACAGTTGCTCATAAATCTCAAATACACGAGAAGTATTCTTCTCATTTCCGTACATAATCTTCAGGCTATCCCACATCTCCTTCGCAGTAGTTAAGAACATAACACTGCTACTAATTTGTGGTTCTGTGTTGTTGAGGAGCCACGTCATAACACAATAATCAGACAAGAGTCAGGAACTGTAAGTGGGATCTGTGGTGGGTGGAGAAGAGGCCAGAAGATGTAAAAGTTTGCTCTGAGCGCCAATGAAGATGCGGAAAGCCTGAGACCAGAGCAGATAGTTTTTACCATTCAATTTTATTGTAATCCCCAAAACTACCTTGGGCACAGAAGTCTGACCAACAGCAGCAGAGGGAGATGTAGAAGAGGAGGAGAGATCTGTTTCCGACATTGTTGCACTGTAGTGATTGGCATGTAGTAGTCAAATAACCAGGACAGTAGTAGAGATCTATTCTTTAAACATAGACTAAAAGAAGATCAAAAAATAAGCAGTAGTAGATGATCGGATCGGATCATATGTGGCCTCGAATCACCTATTCAAGGTCATAGAAAAAAAACAAAAAACAAAACAAAGCGGCGTGGTACTGTAGCAGCGCGGTACTGTAGCGGCAGCGGA